CTGACAAAATATTGGATTTTAATAAGGTTTTGTTTATCTTAGAAATGCCATTTTGTTAATTGTTAGACTTAGCTGTTTTGCCTTTCTTCTCATCTGTGATCATTAAGAGTTCCTCACGCACCATAAGCAGTACTGCCCTTCCACAAGAGCTTTGTAGAACAGCAGCTGAAGGAACAAGTTGTGATTATACTTCGGGCATGTTTCCTTCTCTGTCTTGTATCATTTCAAGGTTTTATTAATCTCTTTAGGATATTCAGTACAAAATCCTGAACTGTATAAAGCCACGGGAGTTTTAATAAGAAAAAGATTTATTAAGAAAGGAGACAGAGCACTGGAGAAATGGACTGTGTAACAAGCTGGAATGTTTCTAAAGCTTATCTTGATTGGTCTCCATGTCATTAAAAGAAAGTGAACTATCTTACACATCCTCTGATTGAGCTTGCCTGTCTTCCCTCTGACTTCCTCTTGCAACTACCAAATCTGGGAGAATTTCTGGAATCAAATGTCTTCTTTTGAGGGTGCTTTTACTCTGTATTTACAGATCTCTTTGTTCTTAGATCCTGCATTAGCCCTGCCTGCTGCTGGGTACCTTTGCAGGAGGACAGCCACAGTGGTATGCAGCCTTCTTCATCTGCAGCCCACTCGGTGTAGGTTAGAAACACAGATGCCCAAAATAATAGTGCAGGCATCGGGACTGCCCAGAGTAGTGCTTACTGGCTGTCGCTGAACTATTAAAGTTTTCATCTTCTGTATAATTTTAAGTCCTTTCGAAAGTACTATACAAATGTCGCTCCTCATCCTTTTTCCATGTCTTATTTTTGAACAAGCAGATCACAGCTCAAGTCTGTCTACCCTTTCTCCTAAATTATTGACCATGACTTTACATAGTAAATTGCACTGGCTACAAATGTTTGCTTGAACATAATTCATGACAGAGTTTAAAGAGACAGAGTTTACATATCATTTTCTCAGTCAGTAAACAACTGATGTTAATTTTGGCATTTCTCAGCTTCCAAGGGCTTAGTTTTGATAAGATGGTGTTCTTTTCAAAACTCACAGTCCATTTAAATAATTTTCTTCTTTTAAAAAAAAAAAGAAAGGTAGCAAAACTTGCACTGAAAATGAAATTACATCCTGCAAAATCCTACTGACCCTCCATTTCTCTGAAAGACTCCTACTAGTGAGTCTTGCAAGCATTGGAAACCAGAGAAACAGCATCCTCAACTATCACATCCGCTAAGTGGCACTAGGCATTGCAGGGGATGATACACACATTTGCCATTTCCCACTCAGGAAGGAGGGTGTAGCTGGGATGGACAGGATGGCAGATGCATTCTTGAGCTGGTGGCAAGAGTTAGGAAGAAACAGAACATGCTTCGTGGAAATCTTCACTCTGCTGTGTTTAGGTCAAATAAGGAATTACCAAATTTGGGCTTTTTTTTTTTTTTAATATGCACAGCAAAAAGAAAATACCAGAGACCTTGTTGTTTTGATTCTAAACCTTAGTGAAATGCTTGCAGAAAAAAATAAGTTAAACGCTAGCAGAATTTTTTTAGCCTTTTTCTAATGAATAATATCAATGAATGAAAAAAATCAAGCCTTGAGCAGACGCTTGGAGTGGAATTATACTGAAGATTGAGTTTAGCAAATGTATAAATGACTGAAAACAGGCTCTGAACAAGTAGAATTTTTAAGCACCTTGTTGTCAAATTGTAAGTCCTAGATGAAGTCATTTAGAAGTAGCTTCAGACTCATGCTTTCCCTTTTCCTGGTGTTACCGGTGTTTTTCTTATTCTTTCTGATTGCATTGTGTTGGTTTTGCCTCATAAAAACTCCTGAAGTGTTTATTTTGCCTCGTCTGTAACCATTCCTTGGGCTTATTTATTTTTTTTGAAAAGAATTCTCTGCCTTCCAAGAAGATTGAAAAGATAAGCAAATAATATGAAACACATAAGTTTAAATTCTGATGCTTGGAGAATTGTCCTGTAAATCTCAGTAAAGTGGTTGTGGTGTTAGTTAAAACTGGTAAAGCTGGATCATTGCCTTATTTAACGGCTTTACTAGAGAACAGTTTTCTCCTGCTTTCCCTATATTGTAAGGTCATTAATGAATCATTATCTATTGCTAGTAATTACTGATCTCTTGAGAATATTGGTTTAATTATATAGGAATCATAAGTGGAAGATACAATTACATATTCTACAATGTAGGTAGTAGTACCTTGGTGTATTATGCCTTTAAAGAATCTGGGGGTTTTTTTGTGGATTTTAATTGCTAAGTGTGCCTGGTAAAATATGAATTATTGTATTACTGCATGTGATAAAAGGTATACTATTGTGAGCCTCACAGGCTGCAGGTGTAACAGATGTAAGGCAAGATTAACAGGACAGAACAATAATTAAAACACAGACAGCAGTCTCAAAAAAAAAAAAAAAGGTTTATCATGTCCAAGGCAGTTATTAAGTGTGTCTTAAATTCTCTTTGCAAATATTTGTAAAAGCAATAAAAATGTGTTAGTTTGAAAGACAGCTTTTCAGTGTGGACATTTAGTTAAGGAATTAAGATCCTTTTTTATGAATATAAAAGCTGAGTGAAGTCCTGCCATATGGCAGCATGGTTCAGAGGCAATAGGGTCCTAGGTTTATACACGCTGTGAGCTAAACGCTGCTGAAAAATATAAGAGAGCAGTTAGTATATATGCATTTACAACAGTATGAATTGCTTACTCTCTTTAAGACAGGAAGGTTCAAATAATTAACAGTAATATTATGGTTGCTAAAGAAAGTCCAGTTGTTCTTCAGCAGTCTACATCTGTGAAACGTGATACCTCTGGGGAATGAGATTTAATTTTCCCAGGAGAAAATATAAAAGCAGGAGAAAAAAGGAATGACTTCTGCTTGAGCAGAATAAACCTGCATCTACAAACGATTAACACTGCATAATGAAGTAGTAAAGAAGCAAGAGAGATTTCTAATAAAAGACTAATAACAAATCCCATTACCCCATGGTGTATTTTTTCCCTTGAAATGTATTAGGTTCTTAGCAAGGCTTCTGAATGAGACTTGGGTAGTTGCAAGCAAAGTCAGTTCAAATGCTTCAAGCTTAGCTGAAATGTCTTGCCTAACAGTTTGTGTAACTTGAAAGTTGTGTGTTTACAGGTGGGCGGAGTTGTTAATGCAAGTAATAGGCTTCACACGGAGTTTGGGTAATGTTTGTGTCACCATAGGATAATAGTCTCCTGAAGGCAAGGCACTGCGGGGTTACGTGCCACTATGTGGCAAAATCCCTTAGATAGAACAGGCATGGTATTAAATGCACCAGCTAAGCCTTGCTTTTGTGTACTCAGTCTTCTCTTTCTGAGGCCTGAAAATAAGTCCTCATAGGAAAGGGGTTTGATCAGACAGGGAAATACACAGAGTTTGTGATTTGTTGTAGCTAATATTGAGACTTTTATAATTACTGTGCAAACATAAAAAGTTAAAAGGCCTTAGAACATAAATGTTTGATATGAGAATGAGGTGACACTGCCTTTTGAAATCACATATTTTCACTTTTAGAAGGGAACATGTCTTGCAAGGAAAAGATTCTATATAGTGATCTCTAAATCTGTGCTTGGATATTTTTGTGGATTGTACGTATGGTTCCAGTGGCGAGAAGAATAAAAGTTTAGTGAACAAAACCTTGACTTTCAAAAGAGTCTCTTTGAATTTCTTTTATGAGAAATTAATCTGGTTTTTTTTACAGATCGTTACTATCTTCAAAGCTTATGCTGAAATGGTGTGTTGGAATTCATTTGTCTAAAAATGGACTTTTGTTACTGAAATCACCGAAAAAAACATACCAGCCACAAAACACAAAACCCCAGATGCCTTAAACCAATAATGAGTTATGGACCAAAAGTGGTTAAACATGAATTCTTACGAGTGAAACTAATCTTGAAGAAGAAAAGTTGCCTTTTTAGAAATTTTTGTGAGTTTTAAAGAATGACTTAATTTGCTTAGCAGAAATTTGCAATCAATCTTTTCTTGCCACTGAGTAAACAGATTCCACATGCGTAGCTATTTGCATATCCCAGCTAAAAATGTAATACATTATTTTTAAGTCCATTTCATAATGACTATTTCAGGATTAACGTTACTAACTATTCTTCAGCTCTTTCAAATGTGACCTTAGATAATCCTACCTAAAAAGGTACAAAGCCAGTGGGTCTGTTCTGGAATAGGGAAGGGAGGGAAGTACCTTTCCTGAGGTCACCAAGTAAGTCAGCATAAGAGCCAGAACTAGAAATGAGAAATCTAGAGAAACAGTTTTGTTCTACTACATCTCAAGCTTCCAGATTCAAGCAAATATTGCATTTAATAAGACAGATTTTCACATTTTGCTAGGTATAAAAACAGCACAGAGGTGAACAGGAATTAACGGTATAGTCTACATGCAGATTATCACTAAATCTGGTAAAGATTTAAATTAGATTTAATGAAAATAGCATCCATAGCATATTTTACGTGGAGTTGCAAACACTGTCATCCATAACAGGATGTAAGCCCCTTCACAGTACGTGTGACTTGGTCCATTTTAACTGCTGTTTGGCATCTGCTTCTGAACTGGCTTTCACTTGGCTGGGCTTTTCAGCGCTTCTCATAAACAAACCACTGGCTTCACCCTCCTGTTTTTGCCATTCCATGCTATTCTTGCATAACATTTTCTCCCTTTCATCCTAGTTCACTATCACATTAAATGCTCAAAAATCTGGTATATGGGATTGATAAGTCCAAATCATTTTATTAGTCAGTGAGGCTTCTATAGTCTGTAATACATCATTTCTTTGATGTAGATGCAGTAACATTTCCACAAATACAGTTAAGTGGGTTATCACAGATCTTGATGCTTTGCAAAATTTTCCAGTTAAATGTTTTGGATAGTAGTTGATCCTGGGATATATGTAGTGACTTCATCATACTTGGTAAATGGGGAAATACAACTTTTCCTTTTTTTTTCAGGCGATGGGTAAGGCTCCTGTTTGGACGTGAATTCCCACTTCAGGACCTTCTGGTTGTCTGGGATGCTCTATTTGCTGACAGTATCACCCTGAATTTAGTTGACTACATTTTTGTAGCCATGTTGTTATATATCAGAGATGCCTGTAAGTATCAACTATCTTACAATTTTTTAAAAAGAATGCAAACCTATTCTTTAAAAGAAAAAGAGAACTTAAAAAAAATGCTAAATTTCATTGTGACTTTTTTAACATACTGAAAATCGTTCCAAATACTAGGAGAGGAGCTATTTATTATCAGACACGGCCTGCTGTATTTATGAAACAAATTGTGTCTTGGAGTTAAATGCAGGTTTGTTTTCTGAGTAGTTCTGTGTTTTTATATGGAGTTGCAGGTTTTATGTGCTGTTAAGTGATACAGGTATGTATAGAGCTCCACCTTGCGACCAAGCTGATGAATTGAATAAAGCCTCCCTGTGACCTTAGAAATATTTTTATGCTGTTCCCCTGTGAGAAAGGAGAAAATGCACAAGACAATGACTCATAATTTTCGGAGATATATCTTGAAGGAAATGCAAAAATTAGTAACAATTACAGAGTATGTTTATTCTATGCAAGAATGGCATCTTTAAAAAATTACAATTTATTTTATTTTGATTTAGTACACCTGAAATATGTGTGCAGGTGAATTCTTATAGTTTAGTGATGATCAATAAATATATTAAGTTAGGACAAACAAGAAATTATTAGCTTATATAATTGGGAATGGGAGGAGAAAGCTACATAATGATTAATTGAGGCATTTATTTCTGTCCCATTATATTCTGCAAAAAAATCTGTGTGCGACTGACACAACAGAGTATACATTTTGCAATAAGATGCATGGCTGTCATTAAGTATATGAATTCTATAGCATGCTATTCAGAGTTAAGTATATACCATCTGTAAGCTTTAGGTTATAACAAGGTCACATATTTGACACAATTTTGTATTCTAGGACACAGGAAGTTACCAACATCTGTGGTTCCTATTTTAGGGCCCAATCTTGAAAATATAACGTGGTACTTTAAATGTACATGTCGTTCCATTGCCTACCTTCATGTGTTTTTTAATTACTTTTTAATAAACATGCAGCATATAGAGCTACCTTTCATTCCTCTCAAAGAAGTGGACATTTAATTCTGTTCAGAGGTTTCAAAATTAATACTGCTCTTTCAGGATGATCTGATTCCAGGTCATTATGTTCTGCAATCTAAGTCTTGCTTGTTTATGTGCAGTAAACTGAAGGAATCTTAAAATTTTTGGTAGAGGTGTGTAGTGAATAGGCATGTAAGAATGTGTCTTAACATCAGTATTTTATTTTGCGTCATTATTTGTCATTAAAAAAAAAATCATATTAGAACCGTGCTTGTAAGAACCCCCTCTGTTCTTGGGGAAGGAAAGTTCTGGGTTTGTTTTCTTTTGATTTGTGGTGCTCATGTACAAGTATCAGTATGAGTTAACTAAAATGTGAGCTAAAAATGTGTTCCAGGCATTTGTATGAAATCAGTCTCTCTTTTTACTCTGAACTCCCTAGGCTTAGTAAATAGAGTAGTAAATAGCATTACAGTGGAGTATATTTGCCAAAATGAGAGGCAGAGTCATCTCATCAGGACAGCTAATACTTCATACACTGACTGTTTCTGTAATAGGTAACTTCGTGTTCTGTAGCTGGACCTAGGTAGTTACTCTAAACATAACAGAATGGTGAAGAAAAATATTGAGTCATAAATACTGTAAAGTTGAATATATTTCCAAAGTCAAGCTCAAACTATAGCTATGTCTACAGTTCTTGATTTGATAAAAGAAAGTTTTTCTCACATATCTGTAATAGGAAAGTTTTCCATTTTTCCTCATTTTTCTATTGCTGATAATATTTGAGCTTTGAACAGAGTTCAAAGTTGTGTTGTAATAATTTTTAACACATTTTCAAATCAAATAAGTTTATAAGAGCTTCTCTTCATTTGATGAAAAGAAACATAAGCTGAAGCTATCCAATGATGATAATCATCTTTAAATAAACCACTAGGAAATTTTTAGTTTAAAAACCTTGGAACAATAGGAACAATAATAGAGTTTCTAAGATATTATGTTATAAAAGTGTTAAAAATAATCAATTATAATAATACAGTACTGAAAGCATTTGAAAGTTTAGAAATTATGCAGATTCTTTTATACCACCACATTCAGGGATGGGTGAGAAGTTGCTGTTTTGAGAATTGATGGATTTTTTTTCTGTGCTCTATTATGATGCTCTCAAAGACATGATTTTAAGAAAGCATTATTTCTGCTATATTTTTCATTTTTATTTTAGTTTTGAAATTCTCTGTTACTCAAACACTGTATTACTCAATTCTCCTTGAGAATTTAGAATATCAGATTATTGTTTATATATTTTAGAGATTAAAGATACATAATCATATACACAGCCATTCTCTAAACTGCTCTGTTCGGTTTTACATCGGTATCCAAGCAGAGCTTTGTCTGTAGAGTGATAATCCTCACAAGCCAAGTGTAGGGTTGTGTACCAGAGTATCTGTGAGTTTTAAGAAATTATTTCCTGTGTTTCTTTGGAAAAATTAATGCAAAAAAAATACTTTTTTTAATCTGTCAAATGAGAAGCATGGATATTTAATTTTTTTTCACTATTGTGGATATACATGCAGTTGTTGATGAAATCAGAATCGAAGGAAGGACGTAGTGCAAAAATAGATGTATTTTATATACTTCCATTCAAGAAGGGCAAGAATGAACAAACTGGAAAACCTGTCTATATTTTGCGTAGTAAACTAATTGCACCAGGAGCTAATTTTGACTGATCAGTGTTAGAATAAGTATATTTTTATCATGTTTCCACTTGAAGACTAGGTATGGCCATTTTTAGAAAATAGTTTTTATGTCTAAAAGCACTCTGAATATTTTGAGGGAAATAAGAAGCCACAATCACTTCTTAGAGGAACTGATTAGTTATTTTTGTTATAGTGCAAGATGTTCATATTATCTATGTTTAACTCAGTTTAGGGACTACTAAAGAGAACGTGACCATGCATAAAGAAGCAGGGGGAAGTAGTCCCACCCTTCCAGTCTTAGGAAGTCATCTGGATACAGGATCAGTGACACCAAACATTTAACTCCTTTGAAATTACATGTGTTAGAAAATTAGGACTTTGTTGAGGACCGTACAGTGAGTTTTCAGGTTTCCCACCACTATTATTGCTGCTTGTATCCAGGAATGGTTATTGGACCAACAGAGAAATGTGAGTCTCTTCTAAAGCAGAAGGGATAAAGCAATTTGATATTCCTCTGGGCACTGAATAACAAATATTTATCAAAGGACAGTAAGATTGTTTTCTCTATGTAGAGGAGTTTTTCTACTCCTTTCCCTAAAAATACCAGTAGCATTCTTCTTTGGAGAAGAAAGAACTTGTGGTTTGCAATAGAAAGTGGATCCAGATGTGACTCTGTCACTAAGCCAGTAAGTGAAGGAAAAGCACAGGTAAAGCTTTTTACAAGGCTGCTGGACACAATGTAAGATACTTCACCATTGAACCTCAGCAGTATTCAGCTATTGCTGAGACTGGATAAATTTGTATTGCACAGAGTCTCCTTTCAGAAACTTTATCCTACAGATGATTCTTAGAAATCCTTTTGTCTCCAATAGGCATATTCAGTTTTACTAGTATTTTCTCTGTATTTTTTAAGAAAACTCCCACTCTGTTGTATAATATTATACATTTTGTCCTGATGAGACAATAACCATAGAATGGTTTGGGTTGAAAGGGACCTTCAGGGATTATCTAGTCCAATCCCCTGGCATGGGGAGAGGCACCTTCCACTAGACCAGATTGCTCAAAGCCCCATCCAACTTGACCTGGAACACTTCCAGGGATGAGACATCCACAACTTCTTTGGGCAACCTGTTTCAGTGCCTCACCACCTTCAAAGTAAAGAATTTCTTCCTTATGTCCAGTCTAAATCTATCCTCTTTCAGTTTAAAACTGTTGGCCCTTGTCATGTCACTACAGGCCCTGGTAAAGACTCTCTCTGTGTTTCTCATAGCCCTCTTAATATACTGAAAGACCGCAATAAGATCTCCCTGGAGCCTTCTCTACTCCAGGCTGAACAGCCCCAAATCTCTCACTCTGTCTGCATTGTAGAGGTGTTCCAGCTGTTTGATCACCTTTGTGGCCCTCCTCTGGGCTTGCTCCAGCCAGTCTACATCCTTCTTGTGTTGCGGGCCCCAGACCTGGATGCAGTACTCCAGGTGGGGTCTCACAAGAGCGGAGTAAAAGGGGAGAATCACCTCCCTTGACCTGCTGACCTCTCTGCTTTTGATGCAGCCCACGATAGTGTTGGTTTTCTGGGCTGTGAGCGCATTTGCCAGGTCATGGGCAGCATACGGATCACTCTGAAACAAGAGGTGTTTCAGCAAAACAGCATTCCCCGCAAATAGAGCACTGGTAACAGTGTTCTCTTCTGTAAAGATTTCTACATGAAAAGGGAGCAGCTGAATATGTGGGGAAAACCCTGAAGATAAAAAAAAATATGTATATAAAAGTTATCCAGTCTTCCTCTCTGTAGTGCTGGAGTTTTGTAACTTTCTTTGAATAGCAAGGTTTTTTTGTCAGGAGTTTTTTTATTTTTTGCACCATTAAAATAAATTAGTTTTTTTAATATTTATTTTTCTCTATACCTGAAGACAGCAAAGAACTCTTCCAGGAAAAATAAAGAATGGATATTTTTAATCCATTTTACATTGCTGAATAGAACACATACCGATCTGTTCAAAAGAGAAACACGTTGGTCTTACTGTCTACTGTTTATAAAACTATTTAGCATTTAATATCAATATTCACTGTTTTTATTTGCTTTGGTAAAAAGGCATCATGATCGTAACTGCAGTTCAGCATCTTAAATTTGATTTACATATGAGAGTTTGATTGGGTATGTACTATGTGGTGCTCGTATTATACTCTGAAAGAACTCTGACGGAGCCCATTGTATTTGTGTTCATTATGCCAGCTTTGTGACTTCAAGAAGAAAAAGCAGGTACCTGAATATGAACAAGAAAAACAAAGGGTAGGAAAAAGAACAGGCAGAACAGATAAAGAATGAGTAGGATAAGTGAGTGCTTTACAAATGAAAGCAGATGTATGAAATTACAAGCTGTCGGATCAGCAACGGAAATGAAGATGATAAAGTGGTTCCTTACACAGATTATAATTATTCATTTTGCCCAGTCCTGCATCTTTTCCCCATAATCCTCTTGTTGAAGGAGGTAAGGTGCAGGAGGATATGAGGCTTATTCACATGAAAGAAAAAAGTAAAACATTTAAATTTCTCTGTCTGCAAAATGGTCCTTTATTTTGCCTTTTATTGATTCAAAATAATTTTGTGTTTACAATGACCCTGATTAATTAAAAGTATTTGTACTATAGCTAAAGTTCTCAGGATAGTAAAGTTTGTTAGAAATTTATTTATAATTACTATTGTTGAAGGCTGTGTTCATGTTGCAGTGGAAGCGTCATTAACAGGCATTGCTTTGACAGCTGTGGCAGATGGATTGCCTGGATTTAGATGGTGGAAAAGAAATGAAGTAGTTTACATAGACCTGCTTGAAAAGATGTCTTTAATAATTGCACTCATAATTAGATTGATTTGGGGGAAAAAAAAAAAGAAGATGACAACAACAAGCAAAGAGCCATAGAGTATACTTACACAGATTCAGATAAAATCAAGCAGAATTAGAACAAAATGATAAACTTTCTGAATAAGTGAAAAAGCTCTGAAAAAGTTGATGGTATAATATATTTTTAATTATTTATGACATTACAATCTAGTCTTTTCCCTTTTTCCTGACCATTTTGTGAAGTTTCTGATTTACGAGAAAACAAGGAGTTGTTGACATAATTTTACGTGTGTGTATCAGTGTGTGTGTGTGTGTGTGTATGTGTATGTGTATATAAGAACAACATAAAACATAGATATTTCAGCAAAGACTTGTCAGAGTGGGGCAAAGTTATCATAAAACCATAGCCACAAATTATCAAATTTAAATTTAGATGTCTGTAGACATCTGATGTCTGAAAAGTCAGTGTCCATTTCGGAGTGTAAGACTAGTTCTTCAGGCTCCACTCAATGTATTGCCCTGACCTCCACTGACTCAGGCAGGCTTTAGGTGCACATTTAGGTGCTTTAGGCATCTAAATCTGGAGCTAACATAAATGTTTATGACAAAGTGGTACGTTTAGCGTTTTTCATAATTATATTGGACCAAGTGTAGTCATGAAGCTTGATTATATAATATCTTCTTTTACTCTCAGCCCTGCTTGAGTTCTGAGAGACCATGTGGGAAAAGACAGCTGAATCTCAACTGTAATGAATTTACTGGAAAAGGTAATACTGGAATATCAAAATAAGATAGTAATATTTTTTCTCCCTCTCTTTTTTTTTTTCATTTTCATTGTAGTGATTTCAAGTAATTATCAGACCTGTTTGGGACTTCTGATGCATTATCCACCCATTGGAGATGTTCACTCCCTTATTCTAAGAGCACTTTTTCTCCGAGATCCAAAGGTGAGATTGCTTGCTCTGTAAATACAGGGAATAAATCATTGTAATAAAATGCTCGAAATGCTATGAAGTTAATAACAACCTACATTTTGGGTACTAAATTATCGTTTCAAGTTTCTTCTTACCTAACAAAACAGCTGAAAGAAAGAGTTGGTAACAGAGTAGAAACAAGTTCCTTTATGCTTTCTTTAAAGGATACTTTAAAGGACACTTTGCTAAAGTTATCCAGGAGTTATACTGCAGATATTCGTGCTCTTTAAAATAACTTTGCTTGGTACTCAGCACAGACATATTTCATGATATAGTATACTTTTGAGGGAAACAGTAGTGTTACTATATAAAAACTAGTAAGCTGTATAGAAACCATCATGCAATTTCATCTGAAAGACCTTTTTCATGGGATTTCTGCGGATTAATTACTGTTAATCCTTAAAGCACTACTACACATAGTTATGTGATGGTTTTCAACTAAAAACGAGAGTCTGGTGTTACAGCCTGTAAAGATTCACATGAATAAAATGTATAAATTCATAAATTTTATGTCACCTATTACTAGCATACACTTTCTGATATACTCATCTATAAAAAAAAGCAAACCTCTTGCTGTTTTAGAACGGCATATGTATGTGTATGGGTATAATATAAAAGAGACACCCACAGTATAGTGGATAAAGTGCTTGAGATGAAGCTGTACACTGTAATCTTTGCATACTCAGATCTTTGGCAGATAGCAGAATTTGTGCTGCTGGTTTCGAACTGTCTTTGTACACGTCCCATTAGTAGGTTGCCAGTGTAAAGTCTGATTTCCCTCATCTTCTTGATGCACAACATCTTTGAAAGCAAAAAATTCATCACTTCTGCACTCTGACTGCCTTCTGCAAAATTTCATTCAGTACCAATGTTTACACTCTTATGGATTAAGAAAAAAATTGTCTCTTTGTTTTTTCTGTATCAGTTTTTTGCAGAAGTCTGCATCCTTACAACTGCTTTCTTCATTCCTCTCAGGCACAAAGATTTCTTTCATGATGAGAAGTAAAGTGTATCATGTTTTCAGTATGTAAGAAAGTTTCTAACGTTAGATCTTAGGAATCTTTGTTAAGATTTTGGCAACAGTCTATGAAATCAGACTGCCCAGCATTTATTTATGTACTTTCTTAGCAAAATAAGATAGAAATATTTTTTAGAAGAAAGATACAGCAGGAGGAAAATTTTGCTAAGATGTCAAACTGAATTCAATATGTAATCTGCCATTTATTGAACAAGATATGTTAAAAGATAATTACTAATTATTCAACTGTCCTCCAAAAAGTACTAGGCAGTATAGAAGATATCAGCTGAAGGGGGCAAAAATAAACCACCCATTTCCCACAAAAGAGGCTTGATCACTATTCCACTCCTTATGCTCTTGTCTCCAACAGAATGAAGTTGTCAGGTTCATAAGGCCTGGTGTTCTATTAATTAACATTCTCAGGTGTGCCTTGAACACCTTTCAGAAAAATACTGGATGTAGTTCCTACTGTGTTTTCATGTAGTTCTCCCTTCGCTCAGGTGACTGAGAACTTAAGGTTCTTCGATACAAAGAATGGTTGTTGCTTTGTCAATTTAAATACGATAAATTGCAGTTGTTCCTCATTTCTGAGCTATACGTATCTGCTTGGGAAATACTGTGAAGGTTAGGAAGCTGTGATTTCTAGAGAATGAAGAGACTAAGGAACTTCAGCCACCTTCCATTTTACGTTGGATCTTTGGGTTGAGACTCCGTAAAAAGATCAGGACTTCTTACAGTGAGGAAGTAAAAATGTTCTAAAGGATCGTTCTAAAATAACTCCTGGTCTGAGAAAGAAATATGTTTTGTTTGTTCAATTCATTTTTAATGTTTTTTCAATCCATTTTTTTCCATATTTCTGTAATAGAAGTCTGGGTATTCTGTAAGACCTACGCATAAAAATTTTCCAAGCGTGTCAAAATTTTTCATTCCATGGAAGGAAAGGGGAGACTTAACAAGGCATCATGGGTGCCGTAGGAGTCTACGTTGGTGCTCAGATTATATACCAATATAAGTGAGAAAATTATAATACCTTTTTTTTTGCTATCTGCATGAAAATAATTCAGTTTGCCCTTATTCCAGGTAAAAGGAGATTGGAAGAAATGACAAGGAGATTTCAGTTAGTAGTGTAACTTGTAAGTGGTGATTAACAAATTCAGTGCTTAATGATTTTTCTTCCTTCTTTGATGTTTTCCTGTGCATTTCTCCATCACTAGCTTCTGGTTTCTAATAGGAAATTACATTTGGTTCAGTGCAATTTTATCTCTCCTTATCCAGGGCTGAATTGTTGTGAATTGTGTGGCATTTCTTCCAAGATTTCACTTGGGTTTTAATATGTGAAAGCAGGGAACTCTTCTCTGGGAGACTGTTGCATGGTCCAATGGCTTATTTCATTATTTGTTGAACATACCAAGAATGTTTAGTGTTGTTCCAAACACCTGAGAGAGGCTTGGTCTCTGCTCCTCAGAGCTTTAAATCTCAGCTGGACAAGAAATGCAGTTTAGAAGTCATGGCCAGGAACAAACAGGAATCTGCTTCTTGCAGGTTTGCTAATATATATTGTCTTTCATATTATTTTTGCAGCTAGGTAAATGCCAAAAAGTCTTACCCAGGGAATGTTGTGGGGTATTTGGAATAAGAAAGATTGGTAGTATGTACATAAAACTGAAAGGTTCTTAAGGAACGATCTTGTCATAAATGATGAAGTAGATAGATGGACCTGACACGTCCTTTCCATCTGTAACTTCCAATTTTGGAGATGATCTGGGTTTGCACATCTAATAACATCTATTATTTCTTTATTTTCCTTGATCTGACATAACAGGTACCTCCTTCTTCCTTATTTGTGTTGTAGTCTATCAGGAGAGCTAAACTTTGGTTTCATGAACCTGTCACATTTTGTTTGCTTCTTTTCACTGCAGTCATCACCAGGAGAGCAACCTAAATGTCAGCAGAAAGCTATACTTAAAAGATAGGTGGCATTTTTTTCTTACAGATGGACAAGTACAATTTCTTGACGTTTTGTGGAATCAAACCTTACCAGAAGCCTTAACATTATCCAGTATTAAAAATAATATGACAAGTCATTAGTGCTTGCCGCTAACTACGAAACCCTAATGCTTGCAAGCAGCTCTCCTTTTCACTTTGTGAACCCCAGTTGGCAGTTGAGAGGGCACTTTAGATACCACATCCCTGATATTTTTCAGTGCCGCTGAAGAGAAATACACACAACTGTAATAGCTGAAAACAAGTTAATGCACCTGCCTCTGAGGGGGGGCCTGAGAGATACTAATTTTACAGGCATGAGTATGGATCAATGCAGAATAATTGAATTTCAGCCTTCTCTGCATTTGGCTAGCTCCATTTCTTTAGGAAAATGTGCAATGAAAAGCTCAAATCAGTGTTGTTGTCTTTGCATAGGGTGATAAGTTAACCTGCTTAGCAGAGTATTTGTTTCACATTTCTAATCTTTGAACAGATAATTGCCTCAATTATTTATATTAAAGCAACTTCTATGCACTTACAGTCCTTCTGAATATAAAAGTAGAGCTTCTTATGGAAGAATGGGCTATTAAAAGTATGTATATGTGAAATGAAAAAGTAAGGGAAGGTTCTTTTATGTATATCCAAAAGCATTTACTGAAGGTGTGTGTCTGCATATTTAATACACCATGAGTGGCTCATTTTCTTCTTTTTTTTTCCTTATCAAAACCACTGAGCACTGTTAATTTTCAAAGCAAAGGCTGCAAAATTAAGAAGTAGAGATACGGAGATAGGGCAGTGGAAAAATATAAAGTGATTAAAAAACATAGTTCTAACTAGAGTTGTTCAAATAAAAAAAAAATTAAAAAAACCAATTAGAAACAAAAGTCATAGAAAATGTGAACATATTGTGTTCCTTAAATAGCCAGATGTTCTTTCCTTCCTGAAGGCAACCAGGGCTAGGAATAAAAGGTTTAAAACTATTGTTTTAAGTTAACTGTGAATTTTGAAAATCTGCTTTCACCCTTTAGCAAATAAAATTCTAATACAGCGACATAAGCAAAGTAATTTTCATCTTTGGGTGTTCGTATTTGTATGTTTTGCTATGTTGAAGTGTTAACCTTATCAGAATGACTTATTAGAAAAACTAAAGCACTACACAGAATATTACAGTTTTGCATCGCATACTAAGAACCTGACAACTGTGCTTTGTCTCAAACTTTATTGTATTTATTCTTAGTATTCTTGTAAAATAAGTTCACTTTCAGATATTTTAGCATGGTGAGTTACCCTATTCATTGAACAAGCTAGTTAAGAGCTTAATTCAGTGGAGATACCTTTTATCATAAGCCAGCAATTTAAAAAAAAAAAAAAAAGGGAAAAAACGAATGTACTTGGTTGATGGAAATTAATTTGTTGCTTATGCTAATAATACTCTAGTTACTGCTGTTGATATTTTCTCAACATAGTATTTTAAGCTATTTGCTGACACTGAAGGTGGCTATATGATAATATAAAATTCTAGCGAAATCCATGGAGAAGCATACATGACATTTCAAAGAAGTCATATTAGTTCGTTGTGACTTGAATTACAGGTACTGCCAGAAAACTTAAGCAATAAAATATGGTCATGATCACTCATATAACGATTAGTTGGAAAAATCTGCATTCTAGCTTTTAACACTACTCACTATCTGAGCAATGTGACAAGGAGAAAACACATTGCTGAAATTTTGAACTGAACTCTTTGTACATTTATTTTCAGCTGAATTTTCTTCTTAAGTAGCTGCCACCATCTCAGAGTTTTCTCCAAGCTGGTTTCATGTGCCTGAAAGGCTGTTGAGTTTCACTTTCTTCTTCTTCAGATAAATTCTTTTCTATACACTCATTAACTGAGGTGCTGCTGCAGAGCTGCAACTGTCCTTTGAACGCTGCCGTTATGTCAGTATTGTTGTTTTGCCGTTTGTGGCAGGAG